CGGACGCGGTGGCTCACGCCTGTAATCCTAGCACTTTGGGAGGCCGAGGCGGGCGGATTGCTCAAGGTCAGGAGTTCAAAACCAGCCTGAGCGAGACCTCGTCTCTACCAAAAATAGAAATAAATTAATTGACCAACTAAAGTATATATACAAAAAATTAGCTGGCATGTGGCGCATGCCTGTAGTCCCAGCTAACTTGGGAGCTGAGGCAGTAGATCGCTGCAGCCCCAGGAGATGAGGTTGCTGTGAGCCAGGCTGACGCCACGGCACTCACTCTAGCCTGGGCAACAAAGTGAGACTCTGTCTCAAAAAAAAAAAAATAAATAACAAATGCAATTATTTACAGAATACTAAAGGGAATGTCAAGGAACTAAAATTTATCACTCAAATATTCAAATATATGTAACAGTGGAGCAGTGGTTCTCAACTAGGAAGGATCAGCTCCCTCTATCTGGGACATTTGGCAATGTCTGAAGAATTTTAAGTTTTGACAAAATCCAACACACCTTTATGATAAAAGCTCTTAACAAATTAACAAAATAGGCATAGACGGCTCATACCTTAAAATTATCAAGTCCATTTATGACAAACCCATGGCCAATATCATACTGAATGGGGAAAAACTGAAAGCATTCCCACTTAGAACCGGAACCAGACAAGGTTGCCCACTATCTCCACTTCTATACAACACAGTGCTCGAAGTCTTTGCTAGAGCAATCAGACAAGACAGGGGTATTAAGGGCGTCCAAATGGGGGCAGATGAGATCAAACTCTTGCTCTTTGCCGATGATATTATATCTAGAAAACCCCAAGGATTCATCCAAGAGACTCCTAGAATTGATATATGAATTTAGTAAAGTCTCAGGATACAAAATCAATACACACAAATCAGAGGCATTCATATACGTCAGTAACAGTCAAGCCAAAATTCAAATCAAAAACGGTATAGTGGTAAACATTCTACAATGCACATGACAGTCCCCTACAAAAAAAGAAGGAAAAAAAAGAATTATCCAGACTAATGTGTGAATAGTGTTTTGTTGGGAAACCCTGCAGTTGAGTAACAGTGGGTTTTGTCGGACACAATAATTTAGCTGTATAGATTTATTAGCCTCTTAAGAACACACCAGAAAGTTGAAAATTTGCTTGAATTTCACCCTGTAAAACCCCTTTGAGACATTGGAATGAGTGAATGAATGAATCTAAAATATCACTAGCAGCTGGACTTAGTAAACTGTAACATTCTTAGGGAGATTTATTTATTGGCCATACTATTTTTCTTTTTATGACACAAGGGCATTTTCAATAATATCCCCTTGTTTTATAACGAAAAGAAAAATACTATGTCACAACTTAGACATAGTATTTTTCAGTAAGTAAATACAAATTGTTTCAGAATCATTTTCCTTTTATTGTTTATAATTTCAAAAATAAGTTTTGTATCTTTTTCAAAAATGTTTATTGAGAAAATTCTTTTCAAATACAAAAACTTAATGGGTTATTAAAATATTTCTTCTTAGTAATATTTATTTTCTTCTTTAATATTTTAAAGACCAATTTATGTCAGTGCTATTTAATACTGGGAGTAATTTTTATATTTATAATGCTATTTTTTTAAAAGGAAACCTTCTAATTAATGAATAATATTCACACAGAAAAGTGAACAAATCCTAAGTAGAAAGTTTGATGGCATTTTACAAATAGAACAAACTCCTGTAATCATACCATGATCAAGATACAGAACACTGGATGGGCGTAGTGGCTCACACCTGTAATCCTAGTGTTCTGGGAGGCCGAGGCCGGAGGATCACTTGAGCCCAGACTGAGCAAGAGTGAGACCCCAACTCTACTAAAAATAGAAAAATAAGCCAGGCATGGTGGTGCACACCTGTAGTCCCAGCTTCTCGGGAGGCTGAGGCAGGAGGATTGCTTGAGCCCAGGAGTTTGAGGTTGCTGTGAGCTATGATGATGCCATGACACTCTAATCCAGGGTGACAGAGTCACTCTCTCTGTCTCAAATAAATAAATAAATAAATAAATAAATAAATAAATAAATAAATAAAGACGCAGAACACTGACCACATCCCAGAAGCTATTTTTATTTTCCTTCTAACTCACCATTAAATGTACCCAAGAATTGTTCTGATTTCTATCATCATAAGTAATTTTCATTCTTTTGAATTGACATAAGTGGAATCCTACAATATATAATAACCTGTAGTGTTGGGTTCTTCTTTCCAACCTTATGTTTGGAAAATCATCCTTATTGTGTGAAGCAGTTGTTTTCACTGCTGTTTGGTTTTCCATTGTATGAACTACTGTAATTTATGTATCTAGTATATGCTCTATATGTCTTTTGATGAATATAGTATGCCTTTGCGGGGTATATAACTAGAAATGGAACTGATGGTTCCTGAGTATGCATATACTTAGCTTTACAGATATAACCAAACCATTTTCTAAAGTAACTGTATCAATTTACATTCCCGAGGGCTTGTATATGAGTCCCATTGTCCCATATCTTTGCCAACAACTAGTAGTGTTGGAATTTTTAGTTGCTCTGATGGGTATGTGATAAAATCTCATGGTGGTTTGAATGTGTAGTTCCTGTATGACTGATGACACTCAGCACTCATTCATGTGTCATTTGGACATTGGGTACCGTCTTTTAAGAACTGCCAATTTAAATCATTTTATTCACTTTTGCTGGCTGTCCTATTTGCTTTTGAGTTTTAAGAGATCTTAATGTACTCTGGATGTGAGTTCTTTGTCAAATATGTGTATATGTATACAAACATCGTCTGTATAACTTGCATTTTCACTCTCTCAGTGGTGTTTTTTGATGAACAATAGTTCTTAACTAATGATGTCTGAAGTTTTCTTTATGGTTAGTGCTTTTGGTTTATTCTTTTAAAAATCTTTACTTACCCCATAAAAATCCCCATAGGTCATAAAAATATCCTATACTATCATCTAGAAGCTTTATAATTTTACTTTTCACATTTGGACCACAATAAAGTTAGAATTGATTTTTGAGTACAGTGTGAGGTAGAGATCAAGACCCTATTTTTTCTCATCTCTAACTGATCCAGCACCATTTATTGAAAAGCTCATCCATTTGCCACAGTACCGAATTGGTCCTTGGCTGTGAATCATATGACTATATATGGTGGGTCTTTTTCGGGACTTTTGGATTTGTTTCATTGGTCTTTTTGTCTACCCTTATGCTGATACCATGCTACAATAGCTTTATAATTACCTTGATATTAAGCATATTATTATTTGGTCTATACTTGGGATGGCCCAAATTTTAATAATATCACTGATACACAAAATGTATTGCAATTTCATTTCCTCCCACTTCTAGGACTGATTTCAATTAGGGCTTTTGAAAATAACTTCAGATACTTGATACCATTAAGTAACATCTGTCATATGCATAGCCTACTGCCTTGTATACACTGGCACTCGAAGATAGCTATCGTTAGTAACAGCAGTAGTGGTGCTGACAGTAAACATGTGGGCAATAATTACATTAAGAGATATTTATTAAACTCTGTAACAGGTTCAATTCTCAAAGCATACTTTAATATTAATTTTCGTCCACCTAAAACTTGTATTCCTTGTGAAATCTCAATTTTCTCAGTCATATATACACATTACTTAAAATGACACAGTGCATACTCAAAAGAAACTTTTCTGACACAATGTCTGGCTGAATTCTGAATTCTCTAGGAGAGAACAGGTTTTGGAAGACTATATGTGTGTGGTATAACATAATACTAAAAGCATGGCTTTGGGCACAGATTTACCTGTGTTTGAGTCTTAGCTTCTCCACATACTTTGTGTGTGATCTTTGAGGCTCACTTCCTCCTCTGAACTATAAGGACTGCTGTAACGATTAAATGAGCTACTGTGAAATAAGGTACGTAAATAGCCCAGTGCTTGATTAAAGTAGGTTTTTGCTTTAAGTTCTTCTCAAGTTAATTTGATTTTTTTTTCTTTTTTAGTGATTTTTAGTAACTGCTGTGTGCCCACTCTGATGTAATGTGCTGGGCCAATACAAAAAGAAAAAGAAAAAAAAATTCAACAGCTTCCACCATCCCTTGGCCAGTCTCATCTTGGCAAAGAATCAGCTGCAGCAAAAGCTGAGACGTCCGTAAGCGTCCCACCATCCAACCACCCAAAGGCATGAACATACTTTTTCCCCTAAAAACAGCAGCAGCAAAGAACAACCCATACTAAACACACACATTTTGGCCAAGAAGCAAAAGATAGGTCCGGAATATTTAAGAGTCTGCTGAGAGCACCTTTAAGAGGAGGCAAGATCAAAATAAGAGATGGCACAAGAACTAAAGTAAATGACAATGATGAATGAAATTAGAAGCCCACCCATGCTTTCTTCTCTGGCACTGCTTCTGCTGCTACTGAAGTTCATGCTTTAATTACCTTGTCATAGGAAGTGACAGGTGACACCTGATGGTTTTCCCTGCTTCTGCTCTTCTCCCTCCGAATGCGTCCTACCCACGCCAGTTGATCACAGTTCTTGAAGTACCACTCTGATTTGAACTTCATTCCTCAAACGTCTCCCCTGGTATCCCACTAACAAATAAACCTCTTATACATTTTGGAAGTCCTGGTAAGTTTTTTTTTTTTTTTTTTTTATAAGTGTAGTTAGTGATAATAGTAATACCCCCAAGTCTACATTCCACCATTTAGTAGCTGGGACTGCAGGCGCGAGTCAATGCACCCAGTCTTAAATCTAATAACATATTTTAAATAAATAGCAAAGTAGGGAAAATATTATGATTTTATGACTTCTATTGAATGACTACTATGTGCCAAAGAATGTTCTAGGCATGCTATTTGTAAACAAGGTCTCTCCTTTCACAGAGTTTATAAGTTAGAACTTATACATATTTATTTTGAGAGCTAGGAATAATAACCATCAGCTCCTTGAATTTGTTCTTTCCAAAGAATCTGCAGATTTCAAAGCATACCTGTTTTGTATATTGTGGTTAATTCCAGATGAACTGCATGCTGCTTGCTTATATGCTTCTGTGTATAAGGGATTCCGATTAGTTACTGAAGTGGCAGTGAGGGGAATGTGTTGCTATGAAACAATGTTGGGTAAAACAAAGCTGAATTATTTAACCAGAAGTACTGTGTCTAAAAACACAAAAATTCCATTTTGCATTTTTACTAACCCTTGAGCTGTTAAATTTCTCTCTGTAATTAAAGCCCATATAAGAATATATTTTGAAGTAGCAAGAGCATAAATTCCATATATGCCTTTTTAGATAAATTAATTTACTCACCTACTTCCATTGTATGGTACTGATTTTGGATCATGACTGTACTCTGGCTCTGGAAGGGGCGTGTGTGTGTGTGTGTGTGTGTGTGTGTGTGTGTCTGTGTATGTGTATGCGTGTGTGTGCGTGTGTGTGTGTGTGTGTGTGTGTGATGTATGGTAGTGAGTGGTTGGAGTGTGCTGAGGATACACGCTAGGTAAATAAGCAAGCTGGAAAAATGACTAAGGATTACTGCCATACATAATTCATCTTAATGGATTTGGAAAGTTTTTCTGAGATCAATACCACTTAGTCAGTTCTGGGGGAACCACTTACTTTGAGGAAATCACAGACACTCACTTATCGAGCTAGGTGCTCCTAGATCCCTAACTGCTTACTTTAGGAACAACTTTGCTCAACCCACTGACCAGTGTCAACATTGTTTTATGAAAACATCATGCCACAATACATTTCTCAATTTTATGCTATTCAGACATCTAAATTAGAATGATTTCTTCTATGCAATTTGCCTTTTATGATATTCTCAGCAGGTATATCATTGTAAATAATATTACTGGCAGGGTAAGAGTTAAGGAAAGAATATTCCTTATTAAAATATGAAATTTTAAAACAATATGCTGATGGCTTGGGGTGACAAGTATTTTGCTGCAACTGTCCTGGTTCTAACAAATCATAAGTTAGACAAATGAGTTCTGTGTTGAAGACTCAATTCAACTTTTTATACAGACATTTCTTACCTACTTGTTTTGAGAAGTACATGGATGAATAAAAGCCCAACTTGAATGAGAGGAAAATAGCACTCATATCATAGTAATGAGACATTCAACCAGTCTTCATAACCTGAAGCTAAGATTTCAGTTTATGGAAAGTGTAATATCAATCCAAATTTTAATCCAAGTTTAAAATCTGACCCCTGAAAGTGAGATTTGGAGCTAAATATTTACATTTTACCATGCTCTTTATCAGTAAGTGGAATTCATGTTTAAAGTTTCATTAGAGGAAACTACCCATTTAACTAATACAGACAAAATTCAAACATTTGATTCTTTTCTATTTCTGACTGCAATTAGCTTCCTAACCCTAAAATATGACTGAAGCATTAGCCAGCTCAATTTCACTGTAAGTTCAATGCTGGTAAAATTCAGTATTACATATTTACCAATATTTGCCAGGTGCATTTCCGTATGGCAAGTGTATTTACCAAATTGGATTTCATTTTAAGATAAATAGAACTTATGATCTTTACGTATTCCCCTCCCTCCAAAAAAATCCCTGAAGAAATTGATTTCATTCATTTTATAAGAATCACTGAAAAAAGCACTTTTCCTTCTGTTGACCATAATCACCTACAAATGAAGCAAATAACAGAACTTGACATAAATTTACAAGCTCCAGTACTTAAAGTAAGGTCCAGGTCACAGGATATATTTCCAAGAGATCTAGGTGACAAGAGAGAGAAAAGGCAAGACATAGAGAAAGAGAGACAGAAAAAGTGAGTCAAGGAACATAACCACCTTGCGATAAACTCATCATCACTAGTGGAAAAGCGAGCCAAATTGTATTTATTCATGCATACGATTACTATTGATGGGATAATTAGGTGAATAAACTTTTCCAGGTATTGAGAGAGGTATAGGAATAAATCAGAAATGAACATTTCCTTTCAAGACGGAGAAGAGACATGTACAAGCTACAGGATAGACAGCAGTGGGTCCTGGAAGGGAAGTCAGAGAAGTTCGGTGGCGGTTCTGAGGAAGCACCAGTCTTTCTGGCCATGCTATTCTTGGAGGGCTCACTTTTTCTGGAGCTCCCGCCTTTTCCAATACTACCCCCCAGGAAGGCCAACAGAGCACACTTACGCATTAATACAAATGGGAAGCGGGAGTGCAGACACCAAAGAAAGCCATTTCCATATAAATGATATGCCATTATTTTCAAATTATTTTTATGTCTTCTGAACATATTTCCAGTGTATGCATAAAATGATTTGGAAATCTCTATTTGAACTAGTGTCACGGTAACAGACTCTCTGTCCTTGACCAAACTTTAGACAGGTGCCTCTGAGCCCTTTTCTACTAGGTCTCGCCCTTGGGCTTCCATGTTTGCCCATGCAGAGTCCAGCTTTAGCAAGAATCCTGCTACGTCAGGTTAGAAGGAACCCAGTTGCTGTCTGCTCACCCTGGATATCTGATCAAATTCCACATCCCCCACCATCCCCCAGGTGGTATCTCATCATCCTGGCCTGCCTTCAGCAAGAATCCTAAGTCGGCTTAACCAGAATTCCCCCACCCTTGATGATTCCTCTTAGTCATTCTCCATCCGCTGACCCTCCCTGCCCTGCTCCTTGGCTATAATCCCCACTTGTTCTTGTTGTATTTGGAGTTCAGCCTGACCTCTTCTCCTATTGCTAACTCTCAACACCTATTGCCATAGTCCCAAATAAAGTCTTCCTGACCATTTTAGCAAGTGTCAGCATTGGTTTTTCTTTACCACTGCTCACTGTCAGCTCATTTATTCCCTGTCAATTTATTCCCATGCTAATGCCAAACCATCTCCACTTGCTTTGATCCCCCATCCCTGCTTTCAGTGGATGAATGTGCCTCATACTTCATAAGGAAAATAGAAGATATTGAACAGCAACTCATTTATTTACATGCAATCTCCCAGTCTTTCTTCCTTGTTGCAGGACATATTAATACCAATGCTTCTTTCCATACCCTCCAAAGCCACTAACTTCACAGGTGCTTGGATCCTTTCTGTTCTTGGTTCTTTCTGTTCTTCTGTTCTTGCTGTAGCAACACTTTATTACTATTGGTACTGCCATCTCTTTGGCATTCTCTCTACCTCTCCCCAAATTATAATGTTCATTAGCATATAAACCTGCTGCTCTCCTATATTTAACAAATAAATACAAGCATACAAACAGAAACATACCAACGAGCAGAAGGAAAACTCTCTTTATATCCACAACTTTACTGAGCCATTGCCATTTTTCTGCTCTTCTCCAGAACTTACATTTTTGAAACTCCGTTTATACCTGCACTATTCTCCACTTCCCCAAGTCACTCGTCAACACTCTAACTTGGTTTCTCGCCCCACTACTCCATTGGACCTAGGTCCCAACAACTTCCACGTGAATACTCCTTTGTCCTAACACATCTCACCTGTGTTCCATGGACCACCCTGCTATGATTCTGCTAAAACCCTGTGCTCTCGGTCTCCGTGAGACCACGTTCTTCTGCTATTCCCCTCCCTTTGTGGCTATGATTACCAGGAATCTGTGCTGACTTCTCCTAGACACCATCCCAAAGTTTTGGGTTGTTGGAGTTCAGAAAGAATTGCCCTTTCTTTCTTCTTATCCTTCTTTCTGAGTACCATCATCCATTTCCAATCGCCCCAAAATGACCTGTGTCTGAGGACTCAAATGTATACACCCAGCCCAAACTTTTCCTCAAAGGTATTTGCCATTAGACTTCTCCATATCTCATTCTTGATTTATCTAAAATGAAATTCATTAATTTACCCTCTAAATTCATTTCCTCCCCAGTTTTCCCTTTTAATTAAACATTACTAACGAGTTTCTTATATAAGAGTCTAGGACCTACATTTAATATCTCTCTTTCCTTTACCCATAAATATAATTAACAGCCAGTCCTAACAATCTGACCTCTAAAACACATGGAATTTCTCCAAGTCCACTGCAAACCTCCCAGTGTCAGCTGCCATCACCTCCTGCCAATTCACTGCACTACCCTTTCATTCAGTCTTCTCAGTTGCTCTGCTGATCTCTCCAACTGACTCTCCAGGCAAAATTAAGAGGAATCCTTGATAAACACTCATTAAATGACACCACTTACCCATTTAACCTGCTTCAGCAGCTTATACTTCACATAAAATCCAATGAGCAACTCCAAGGCCCTGAAGGATCTGGCTCCTATTAACTCTCCAGTCCTCTGCAATCTCATCTCATCCTATTCCCACTCTCACTCATTGTAACTTCGGTGTCTCCAAAATTCCAAGCTATTTCAAGCTTTAAACCTTAGCAAAATCTGTTTCCTTTCCTAGAATTATACTGCCCTGGGACTTTACACATGGCTGGTGCTTTCTCTTCATTAAAGTTTCAACTTAAATGCCAAATAATCACTGTAGCTTTCTATCCACTGTAACTAAAGACCCCAACTCACATAATCGATCTTAGCACCTTATCTATTTCTTTCATATCATTTCAGATATTGCAAATACTGGCTTCCTCATTCTTTAGTTTATTTTCTCTAATTTACTCCCCTGCATGTCTGTTTTGTTGCCTACCATATATTCTCCCTGGTAGTGTACATGGCATATAGTACTCAGTGAAAGAATCAATGAAAGAACAAGATAGGTATAAGCAATTGCCTTTCATTTTTCATGTCACAGAATAGCTTTATAAATAATACTTTTGTAAAACCAAAGGAAAACAATAAAAAAAATTGAAGGTAATTTAGCTCAAATCTTATTGAAGTTTCCCCAAAAGTAATTATTTATAATGATGCGTTTGTTTTCTTACAGTATCTAAGGTTTTATTTTAGAAATTGTTCCATGTTTGGTCTGAATCAAGAAATAATGAAACAAACACAATTTTATTTTTAGAGAGACATTGAAAAAAACAGTAGAACATTTGCATTTTAACTAATTATTTCATCCTATTAATATTGAAACTCTTCAAATAGGGTAAGTCAATGGTAGGATAGGAAACATAGGAAATTCATATTTTTCTCTATGTTATTTTCACATTCGATTAAAATATGCATAGTTGGCTATTACAAAAAGTTTTAAAATCCTATCTTATTGAAATAGAGTGCAAAAAAAGAAGAAATAAAAGTAAAAGAAATAATGGAAGGGAGTAAGGAAAGAAGATAGGAAGGAAGAAAGGAAAGAAGGAGGGAAGGCAGTCAGTCAGGTAGGCAGGCACAAAGAAAGCCTGATTCAAAGAGACTTTAGAAAAAGCAACAAAATAATATTTTATTCATGTAGATATTAATTCATGAAAATGGTATTACTGCAGACTCCCATTCCTTTTATATTTTAAGTGAAAATTT